GTCCTGTTGGCTTCATCGGAACGAGATCTGCAGCTCTCGCTGGAGCGGTTCGCAGCCGAGTGCGAAGCAGCCGGGATCAGTGCCTCCAAATCCGAGGCCATGGTCTTGAGCCGGAAAAGGGCAGAGTGCCTTCTCCGGGTCAGGGGTGTCGCCCTGTCTCAAGTGGAGGAGTTTAAGTATCTGGGGATCTTGTTCACGAATGGGGGAGGAAGGGAGCGGGAGGTCGACAGGCGGATGGGTGCAGCGTCTGCTGTAATGTTCATATTGGGAACAGCGCATTAGTAAAACAAATATACTTAAAAAAATTCTCATGGCATTTAGGGGTTAAAATGACAGTAAATTATTTTAAAATAGCATGAGGTTTATGAGGGGGGTCCCTGGAATTTTTTTCACCCTTGTATGGGGTCCCCAGACCCAAAAGGTTTGAGAACCCCTGATTTAAATGAGGTTCAAATGAAACAGACCCTCTGTCAGTTGGAGGGTTTTTATGAATCGTGGTGTAAATAAAATGTTCTGGTTAAATTCTAAAATGATTTAAATCTCAACAGAATCCATCACGTCTTTATGTTTAACAACCTTCAAGTCCACCATTTTACTGTGAAAAACCTTATTTGATAGCTGACAGAGCCGATGTTCCAGCAAACGCTCAGAGAAACGGCAAAAAAGAAAAAAACACAAGAGCTCCAGCTCGGACTCTACGAGGCTCAATTATCAGGTGAAGTTAAAGGTTACCCAGAACAACAATCAGCTCCCACCATCTGTCCAGCACGGTGGTGGAGGTCATGATACGGGCTCGTTTTGCACAGCTGTCRAGCTCGGACACAAACTGGGTCATTGATCCCAAACACAGTAGCAGATCTACAGCAGAATGATCCGAGTCCGAGGGGAGGGGTCTAAACCCCTCCACAACCGTAGAGCCCAGAGGAGAAGATCACTACTGAGCTGTTGCTGCTGAAGGGGGTCCTACAAGCTGTGGTTCAGGGGCTGGACTCAGTCTAAGGACAGGTTCACATCTATTGAGTTTTTCTTTGTCCACGTGAGGTTAAACTGGAATAAAATCTCAGATTATGTCCTGATACACAACAYATGGTGGACATCTATGTCTCCAGGACAAGTAGCAGGAGTTATACGTTTCTGGACCAGGTGTTTTAGAATATTCCTACGTTAGGTTTCCCATCTGGAGTAAAATCAGGGCGGCCCCCCTCACCTCCTGGCCAAGCAGGGCGGCCACGCAAGCCTCGGAGGCGTCGCAGATGGCGGTGAGGTCGTGTCCTCCCTCCAGAGCCAGGACCACCCGGCCTCCAGCGAGGGTCATCAGCTGCCTGGTCAGATAGCCGAAACCTGAGGAGTGCATCATGTTCATATTAATAACGCGCTTTTCATTCACATTTCAGCTCTTTCTCACCCAGAACAACCTAAAWTTTCCTGCCGTCTGAGTGTCTGCCTACTTGTCGACCTACGAGCCCTGCAGTTTATTATGTTGCTCTGGATGATAAAGTCCAGCTGGTGTGAGAGATAAGCAACACTCCAGATAATCGCCTGCTCACATTTGGACGTCAGAGTGTAGCCACCCAGAGGCGGGGGGTGTCCCTCCACGGCGTCGAAGCCCGAGGAGACCAGCACGATGTCCGGGGCGAACTCGTTGGCTATCGGCATCACCACGCACCTGAGGGTGGGGTGAGGGGGATTATCACAGAGTTACAGCAGAGACGTCAGACAGATCCATACTCCAAACACGAAGAAGTCACATTACATTGATTGGAAATATCATCAAAAAATAAACAAAAACATATTTTCTAAACTGTTTATGTCAGGATTTAGAGGCTTCAAACTACATGTGTTTATAAGTAAAAGCACAGTGACGACTATAATCTGGATTAGAGAATAAACTTTCTTTTTTCTTTTTACCTGAAAGCAGCCAGGTACTCTGCGTCCCCCATGGGGGGGTCGAGTCCTCCGGTGAAGGCCACGTTAACGTTGAAGCCCACTCCTGGCCCACTGCCCACCTGCAGAGAGGRCACAATGAAACAAGTCAACTTTTTAAAATGACTTTCAGGCAAACAGATTCAAAAATGAATTAGTGGTAATCGACAGGAAATACTTTGAAGTGCAACCAAGTAGAACTCAAAAATATGAGTAAAGATGAATATTTTGTTTTAATGTATTTATTTTTAATCCATTTTACTACAAAAGGGGTTCAACWAACATAAATGTTTGTATGTTTTGGTTTGAATTAGATGGAAAATGTTCAGATAATAAAAACGATGTCAAATATCGTTCATTCCCACGTAAATTAAATCCAAATTTTTGTTCCGTACAAATCACRTGTCAGAGATGTGTTGAAATCGTTACAGAGAAGTTTCACTTTTTTTAATTATTATTGATTTTATATCAGTTATAAACACAAAGAACAAATACAAAACCCAGTGCTGACTCTTAAACAAACACGAAAACAAAGAAAACAAACCAACAAAAATCCACATGAGAAACTAAAAATAACAAAAAAATAACTTTTTCATTTCCTTCTCCAGACTGCCATCTCACAGCTATTTTACCTACAACAGCAGGCGATATATATATA